ATTAAAATTGAACTAATTGGTGTGAAACTCCATATATTCCATTATGAGTCAGTTATGTACGTCTTATTAACAATTTATAACCAAGTTTTCTATTCCAGTCTTATTAACAATTTATAACCAAGTTTTCTATTCCAAACATATTGAGAAATATATGTTTGACCTACATTGTCAACAAGTCCGTCTCAAATAGTCCACAAACAACATGTGTAAAGGATGAAGTTTTTATTTACATAATAAAATAATATTTAAAATAAATATTAATGGCCACAAAAAAATTATAAAATTGAAAATTATACCGAAAAATAAAATATTAATATATATATATATATATATATAATGCATATATGAACATGAGAATTGACATTGTATCATTTTACTCAAATTTTACCCACCGGCATCCTTAATCAAATGAAATAGGGTGTAGTTTTTTTTTTCGATGAATTGTTTTTTTTTTATCGGTGAACTCCGTAAGTCTCTAGATTATATACAATGTGTTAGCTGCTATCGACACCAAACCAAAATTAAAGGCCCGCGACAAAGAACTATCATCCTTAATCAAATGAAAAAGGATGTACTTTTTTTTTTTTCAATCGGTGAACAATTATTTATTTATTATTATATCGGTGAACACTCTCTAACTCCTTAGATTATATACTATGTGTTAACTGCTATGAAATGTTAGAAATACTTCATCATAAAATTTTGATAGATGATCTCGCTGTTGACAAGAAAAAAAGAGGAAATAGTTGTAAGGTGTTTTTTTTACTAAGTAAATCGAACTAATCCAATCCAACAATTATTGGATTAGTTTAAATTAGTTAATCTGGTTGTCGCTTCGAAAAATAATATTTAAAAGTGGAAATAAAAATGAAGGGAGAATAGGAAGAGGTTAAAAGAAATTCTTCAAGTCTATTTCGACGAAGTTAATCAAATAAGAGACATATACATAAAAAATAAATAAAAATCAAATACGAGACCTAAAACTAAAATCATACCTCCCTTAAAGTCATCATCACTCATAACTGAACAAGTCAAGTAGTTAATCAGTTACGTCCTAATTATGAGAAGTGAAACAAAGGATGCATTTCAGAAGAAGTAGGAAGATCAAGGTTTAAACTTCTCTAATGCCTGAAATGAACAAATATATCAAGCTTCCAATTCTTGGGTTTTAACCCCATCTACTGCATTTTCTACATCTATTTCATTTATTACGAGTATATATGGTTCAGATAAAGTTGTGGCCTAGTGACACATTTAGAATCATCTCTCATATTATGGACAATTTCATGCATGGGAGGAAGCTCCTTTACAACCTCAAGTATCATAAAATTTGTTCAACAGCTGAACCAAATCATCGTGTTGACTATAAAATTCATATATTAATATATGTGTGTTTGAATTAGTTGATTGATTATAATTTTTTTATTACGACAATTATGAATCATTTCAATGTTGATTGTAATAATACTATATGTTTTTGTAATTATTATATTTATTAATGATCATGTGACGTGTGTTATTTTTGGAATTGTTGTTGAGGGATTTTAGGGGTTAAGAAATTCCTGAAGAATTTTTAAGTGTTTAGAGGGTTTATCTAGACAAAAGTTCTATTTGATCATGAAAGAATGAGTATTTAATGTTTTTTTTTTATAATTGAGTTTCATAAGTTCATTCTTAAAAAATCCTAGAGAGATAAGTTAGAGAGAAGTTCTTTAGAGTTGAAAATTCCTTCTTCTTCTTGTGAGTAAGTGATCCCTTCCCCAAGGAGTTGATTTGTTAATGTTGTTGATTCAGGTTTGTAAAGCTAGAAATCAAAGTCCTTTGAGTTGTGTAGAGTTCTCCAGAGGAGCTCGATTCCATTCTTCCTTTTCCTTCCTCTCTTTTGCTTGAAATTAAGGTAAGGGAAGCTAGAACTCATATTTATGCCAGATGGTTGGGTTGCATGAAAATTCGATGTGATGAATTCATGGTTGTATAAATGAATTTGAGGGTGAAATGACTGTTTGAATGAGCTTTTCTTGTTTTTGGTTCATGGAGATGAATTTTGGTGTTTGACCTTATATGTGTTGCATGCTAAATTTCTTATGAGAAATGAGTTATAGGTGATGCACATACATGGATTATGGTATTGCATGTGGAAATCTTCTATTTTTCAGTGTTATGAGCCAACTCATGAGTCTGTTATGTGTAAGGGACCTTTGTCTTGCTCATGCCAAGTGTAAGATTGGTAGCGTCGAGCGTGAGGAGAAAGAATTACCGCGGGTTGGATTGACGTTGGATGTGAGAAGAAAGAATCATTTCGTGTTGGTTTGAAGTCGGACATGGGACTTTATTGTGCCAGGTGTGAAGGCGTAGGGGGTCTCTACCTAATCCATGTTGGGCAAGTAGTATGGTGTTGGGCATGAACGAGTTAGAGGGCTCTTTGCATCAATGACATCGAACATAGGGTGTGTGGCGATGGGCGTGGATTGCTTTGAAAATACTTGTTATTTTCATGATTAAATGGTGAACATGGATAATTTAGGTTAATCTACTAAATATTATATGTTGATTGATGATGTTGTTTTATGTGTATTGATCTGGGATGATATATGTAAATGATTGTATTGTTGAATTGTTGAGATACATTTGTATTCTAAGAATTAATAATATTGTTAGATCTCTATATCCATTAATCAGGGGTAATGCATATAGATGATGATTGTTAAGATTTTGATGTTGAGAATGATATAGACATTGAAGCATGTTAATTGACTTAACACTAGAGAAAATGATGTTTTTGAAAGTCAAATATCCCATTTTGTGAATATTGGTACGGTGATTTAGGAGACTAGTTGTTGAAAAACCCTTCTTAAAGAGGTGATAACCCTTGGTGTGGACGGTTGAGTTTCCTCTAAATCCTTAGTCAATATGGGAGTGAGATATGAAGTTGAGGGCTACAACCTTTAACTGATTATTAGAAATGTGTGTGGTATCACAATGATGATTAGCAAGTTAATTTTATATGTGACTTGGTTAATGCATGTCAATGTCATAGTAAGCACACACCCAAGTTATACTATACTTGACAGTAGTACTGAACTTTCCTAATTTAAGTAGCAATACCTAAGAAATCATGTGATAGGGATTGATATCCCAATTTAACTGTCGATTTAGTAAGTACGTAAGACGTGAAAATGATCAGTTAGTTTAGTAGGGTCAAGTTTCTTAGACTACTTATCTTGGTGTAGATCTCCGTAAGTAAATACATGATAACACATTAATTGAAATGTATACATATGATGTGATGTTGTTTGGTGTTATTCATATACTTGTGACTATATTGATCATAGGATAATAATATATATATATATATATATAG